GACTCTTTGGAATCTGGTCTCTGTAGTGGAATGCCTTTTCCAGCTTTGATGGAAGTGGGAAATTTTGGTCCTGCCTTAACTTGATATTACCATGCTTTATTGACTTCCATGGATTCATAGGAAGAGTGAATGGCAGGGTAGAAGGGAAATGGGAGAGGAAGGATAGGAAACTGTGGTTGGTATGTAAAATAAACGTATAAATAAATAAGCATTATGCCCTACTTATGCATATACATGATATTTCAAGGACCATTGTGTAGTGTTATGCTTTAAACGTATGCATTTGTACATCAAGCTGTACATCAAGTAGTATTGAGACTGCAAATATTTATTGCCAAATTGTTGGGATTTAGAATTTAGATTTAGAGAATAAGTGTCTCTAAGGGCTAAGATTTCCTGAAAGCATTAAGATAGATGGCAGGATGTACTCTGGGTATAGATGGCTCTATTTTCTATTTTTAAGTCTTAGGCAGTAAAAAAAAAAACTACGCTGAATTATGGTGATATATTGTTTGTGATTTATTAAAGCTTGCCTAAGTATTCAGAAAGGAAAATCAGTGACAAGCCATAGAAGCCAGGCAAACACCTTTAATCACAGCAGCCAGAAGCTAGAAGGTGGTGGTACACACTTTTAATCCCAGGACTCAGGGTTAAGAGATATACAGTTCTCTTTGAGTTGAAGGCCACCCATATCTACACAAGAGTGAATGAATCTGAAAAGAATTATAGCTCAAACATGTAATCCTAACATTAGAGAAGTATATAAACATAAGCAATGTCTCAGAGAGGCATTCATTCTCCAACCACACTGAGGGAAGCAGCAGTTTGAGACTTGGTGAAGAGCTCCTGAGTGGATCGAACTTTCAGCCTGACCTAGTGGTTAGAGCTAGTGGCCATCTGCTTTGCTCTTCTGATATTCAGGTTGAAATCTGAACCAATTTCACTCAATCTTTTATTTTTTGTTGTTACACAGAATATAATTAGAGTAATATAGTTTGTCGCTTTTTTTGCCTTATTTTAGGTCCACTGTGACCAGATCTTTTATGATCCCACAACTATGCTTTCTTTCTCTGCCATGATGTACTGCACCTGAAAATATGAACTAAAATCAATCCTTCCTTTATTATGTTGTCTTCTATCCTCATGTATTTTACCAGAAGACTTGTGAAAAGTAATTCATAAGGTGATATGGCTGGTGTTTTTCATCATAGTTGATAAAATTTTTGTATTTTGTAACACTTGTTTAAAACTATAATGTCTACAACTCTAGGCATTATGTATCTAAAGAGATACATATAGTTCTGTGCAAAATATGAACATGGTCTTCACACTCTATCCTGTTGCATTTTTGGGAGACCAGGTAACATTTTCTGTTTGAAGCACCAATTGTTAAAATGCTAATAATCCTAAGACATGGATTCTTTATTTTTCTTTAATTTAAATTTGAAATAAGCTTGATTTACATGTCAATCCCAGTTTCCATACCCACCCATCCACCACTGTTCTTCCCAGCAACCCCCATCCCATCACTTTCTGTTCCCCAGGGAGGGTGAGGACTTCCACAGGGAGTCTTCAAAGTTTGTCATTTGGAGCAGGGCCCAGGCCCTCCCCCATGCATCTACGCTGAGGGTGTATCCCTCTATGTGGAATGAGTTACCGAGGTCCATTTTATACTATGGATAAATACTGATTCATTACTAGAGGCCCCATAGATTGTTCAGTCCTCCCAGCTAACATCATATTCATGGAATCTGGATCCATCCTATGCTGGTTTCCCAGCTATCAGACTAGAGTCCATGAGCTTCCCCTTGTTCAGATCAGCACTTCTGAGGGTTTCTCCAGCTTGGCCTTAATCCCTTTGCTCATCACTCCTCCCTGTCTGCAACTGGATTCTAAGATTCATTCAGCTCAGTGATTTGCCATGGGTGGCTGTTTCTGCTTCCATCTGCTACTAGATGAAGGCTCTAGGATGGCATATAAGGTATTCATCAATCTAATTATCAGGGAAGGGCTTTTAAGGTAACTTCTCCACTATTGTTTAGATTGTTAGTTGGGGTCATCCCTGTAGATCTCTGGACATTTCCCTAGCACTAGATTTTCTTTAAACCTATACTAACTCCCTCTATTATGGTTTCTCTTTTCCACCTCTCCTCTATTCTTTCCCTGACTCAAACTTCCTGCTTCTTAATAAGGCTATTCAAAAAGATTTGCCTTTTGGGAATCCTAGGGAGTAGCCAAGTGATTTTATAAAGCCTGTTAGAAATATTTTGATTATTTAAAGTCTCAAATGAATCTATATCAAAAGATACAAAGAGGTAAAACATTTTATTTTTTCATATTTGAATGCTCATGTTGAAAAATAATCAGTTTAGCAAAGAAATTTTGAATTCTTTCACAATACTAAATATACAATAATATGATATGATTGTCCAAATGAGAGAGCTCTGATGTGTTTTGTTTTATTCCAGGTGATCCACTGCTAAAGGGATCCCTAAGGTTAATGGAAAAATTTCCCCTCGTCATATTGATGTTGCTAGACAATCTTTCTACAGGTATCTGAAGAGAAATTCTTTTCTACTAAAGTGAAGAATCTGAATTGCTTTAGGTACAAAATTTCAAATTTCTATGAATAAAATGTTAAAATATGTTCTCTAAAACAATTTTTAAAATATAATGTTGAGGAAACTGGAACAGATATTAAAAATATAATTCCGTAGTAATATATTCAGCATTATTGTCCTATTTGGCTAATTTTCTTTATTTACCAGCCTGCTGATTGGTGTAGCTGTATTTTAGTCCTTTATAATACCTTCTTCCTGAGTGCACAATGAGTTTCTCTCTGAATTGTACAATTTGGATCCATCCTTATATTGCATTAGAGCTGTGCTTTCCTAAATGTCATCTCTAGAAATCTTTGTCCTTGTACTTATCCTCTAAACTTTGGTGGAGTTCCATTAAGCTCAAGCAGCCCGCTACCTGACCAAACTGTAAGAGTTATTATTTAATGACCTAAAATATGACATCTGAAGATGTTCGTTATATAGTAGAATACATGTACATGTATATTTATATGTTTGTCTCCTCTAGTGGAGAATAAGGTGCTCTAGTACTCTCTATATTTGTCTCTACCATTTTGACATGTCACACACACACACTGTCCCTCCCTCCAAAGAGTTATGTAATAAATTTTGACCTAGTATATAATATAATTTGAATGTAGAGCATTTGAAATTCATCAGGACGTATCAGATAATATTTAAAAGCAAATTACAGGCAGTATGACATGAAACTATACAAGAAATTAGAAATCCTATGCAACTGCGATGCTGGTTTTAGAAAATCACAACACATCGGGAATAGCTGATCTCCACAGACCAAACCCTGAATGTAATTAATAGTGAAGTGTGGGAAAGGAACTTAGTGAATATGATTGTATTGAGTAGCCTTGTCTTCAGATATACCGATAAGAACTCCACACATAAACAGGGAAAGAGCATACAAACCATTGAGTCAGATTGTACTCTTGTTAATTATTATTTCAGTCTGAGCTCAGAGTCTCAAGTGTGTCTATGTAATTACAGTTGTCTCTGCTTAGAAAGGCAACTGCTGTTTCATCAGAAGGGGCGTGTTGTCATATGCTTTATTTGCTTTTCAATGTGATTTTATGCCATAAGTTATCATTTAGAAGACTGGATATGTGTCCTCTGTTAAGTTATATTGCTTCTCATGGGGTCAGCCTCATCAGTGATTCACATGCCTATAATCCACAACTGTTGAACCAAAGTTTAGGGAAATGAATGACAATTTCCTGGTGGTCCTTTGTAGTGTGGGATACATGATGTAAAATATAGTAGTTAATAAGTTGGAAATATTCTGATTACTGTATTTCTTCTTCCAGCTCAAAAAGAAATTATATGGGCTAGAGGAAAATACCACTTTCCATCAAAGTTGAGCAACAATTTGTCTTAAAATTTAAGACAATCAAATGCAAAGAATATTATTGAAGAGATGTCAAGTTTTTTTTTTCTGCATGCTTTCCATTTGGCATTTACTGTAATTTTAATCAAAGCATTATCTGAAACCCTATCATTATTTTTCTTACAGATTTTTGATGAAAACTGTTAAGAGGTGAGTTGACATAAATTTTAAGTAAATTTATTCACATTCCATTAGTTAAACACACACAACCATCTTATAAAATGCAAGGCTATGGCTAAAGTACTAAATAACCCACTCCATATTTTGTTTTTAGCCTTTAGGCACTTTATTTTTCTGCATTTTTTCCTTTATTTATTACAGTATTTTAGTGCACAGTATCCTAATATTATATGTGGTGATGTGATATTTTAATATATTTGCACTTACAATTTCATGTAATTTTGGACATATCTTCATATTAATCTATCATTCTTCTACTGTTCAAGCATTCAAAACTCTTATAGCTAGATGAGATAAACTTTTTGTTCACAAAAAAATACCAGCTTAGCACATAAATGGAGACAAGAACTTTTCAAACCACAATTTTTTTTATAGACCAATTTTGATTATGTACTTTAACAAAATAAGGTATATATGCCACACAATGCTCATGTTACTCAGACTTCATTTTAAAATGGTGAGAAGTTAAGGTTCTATAGCTCAGATATAGAATGTAGTTAGCATATATAGAGTCTTAAGGACAATCCAGGGGGGGGGCAGAGAGAGAGAGAGAGAAAATGAGAAATGAGAGAAGAAAGTCAGAGAGAAGTTATCAAGGAAAGGAATATATATGAGAAAGAGGCACACAGAGAAAATATACAGGGAGAGAGAGGGGGAGAGAAAAAGCAAGGATATGATAGTAACGGAGAAAGAAATAATAATCTTTGGAAATGAAATTATCTAAATATAGCTTCTTTACCCCTTTGCACAGAGCATTTCTGTATGTCAGTGTTATCATTTTGGGTAATGCAAATGTTCATTCATTTTTCCTTTCTTGTTTAAAGGCCTGAAAAGAATCTAGTATGCCTAATGTCACTGCAATAACTGGATTTATCCTTATGGGGTTCTCTGATACCCAATCCCTACAGACTTTATGTGGAGTGTTCTTCCTAGTGATGTACTTGGCAGGCCTGTTAGGTAACCTGATCATCATCACTCTCATCACCCTTGACCTGCAGCTTCAATCACCTATGTACTACCTCTTGAAGAATTTGTCCATGTTGGATGCTTTTTTTATGTCTGTTCCAATCCCAAATTTCTTTGTCAACAGCTTAACTCACAACAATTCCATTTCCATTCTTGGTTGTGTCTTGCAAGTATTTTTAATGACTTCATTTGCAGCAGGAGAAGTATTTATCCTGACAGCTATGTCCTATGATCGTTATGTGGCCATTTGTACTCCCCTGCACTATCAGGCCATAATGAATAATAATACATGTGTGTTTATGGTGGCTGTTTCCTGGGCTATTGGGGTAATGTTTGGAGTCATATATACAGCTGGCACATTTTCTATGCCTTTCTGTGGTTCCAATGTTATCCCTCAGATTTTTTGTGATATTCCCTCTTTGCTAAGGATGTCATGCTCTAAAAAACTTGTAGCAATTTATTCAAGTCTTGGAATTGGTGTTTGTGCAGGCATATTTTGTTTCATTTGCATTGTGATCTCTTACTCTTACATTTTCTCCACTGTGTTTAAGATTCCTACTACTAAAGGTCAATCCAAAGCTTTTGCCACGTGCATCCCCCACCTCACTGTTTTCACTGTTTTCATTGCTACAGCTTGCTTTATCTATGTGAAGCCACCCTCACATGTACCAACAATTACAGACAGGGTATCTTCTGTGTTGTACACTGTGTTACCCCCAATACTTAATCCTGTGATCTATACACTGAGGAACACTGATGTCAAGTGTGCTCTGAGGAGGCTGCAGCAAAATCTCTGCCCAAGTGGTTCACTTCACATAAATCTTTAAAGTATTTGTCAGTGATATAGTGCCTCATGAGATATAAGCAAGTTTTTCAATTTTGACTTTAGAAATAGAATAGTAGACATTCATATTTTCCCAGAGTAAATAGACACTCAGTTTAAGGCTGATATTTTAATTCAGAATATTAGATTATATGAGACTAAGGTATAAAGTCACAGTCACAGTTTATTTTCTTTTTGTGATAAAGTTGTTCTTATTTGAGGACCAGAAATTCCTAAAGAGCTAGGTCATTTCTTTTGCTGAAACATTCCATTTTTGGTCATTTGATAACCCCTTATTGTGTTTGTTTGAAAATTATCAAAATAAACAACCAAATGGGGAAGGCAAGTAAGTTATGAATGTAAATTCACATAGTTCTTATGCTAGTCATTCTGCTAATGAGAAAAACAATAAGGAAGCCAATCCTTAAAGTGGTATCAAATGCTTAAATAAAAACATGCAGAATGTGTATATTAATCAAGTTCTATAATATAAAAAGAAGTCCCCAGTTTGAGGATATCATCAAAAAGATGCTGGAGAGGTGGAAAATTTGAGACTATTTTCTGCAGTTTCTCCTAAATAAAACATTACTTACAGTTGAGATATGGTAGGATGATGAACCTGAGGAATTAAATAACCTTACAAGGTCTAAAGCAGTGAATCTCTTCCTGGGTGTCATGAACCTTTTGGTGGGGGTGGGGTTGGGGACTTAATATCACTTTCACAGGGATTGCATATCAGATAGCCTGCTTATAAGATATTTATATTATGATTTATAAAATTATGTTATGAAATAGCAACAAATTGATTTTATGGTAGTGGGTTACCACAACACCAGGAACTGTACTAAAGTTCTGTAGCATTAGCAAAGTTGAGAACCACTGTTCTAAAAAAAATACAAATACAATTTCCTCTATTCAAATTACAGAAGCGTTAAATAATTTCTGGGTTAAGGATTCTCTTTGACTATCCTGGGTGCATGAACAAGGTTGTCTAATCTGTAAACTTACATTTGAACTACATGTGAAACTATAGCTATATATGCACCTGTGCTGAATGGGAACTTTTTGTGTTATAGCTGGCTTACTCCTCCATGGTCCTGTAAGTAAATAATCACAATAAATCCATTTGTTCATCATGTTGGACTATAATGGAATTAGTTTGGTCATTCTTTGACTATCTAACTGGTTTGAGTAGGTGTTTTCTTCTTTACCCTAGAGGAACAATTAATACAATACTCCATGTATATCTGCCATGCAGGTGCACTCCAGAAAATTATTACCTTTTAACTATGTGCTTGTGAAAGTTTTCATCACTGTCTAGAAAGTAGTTATGGAATTGACTACAATTTCATAGAAATAACTTTCCATGAAAGACTTCTTTTGGTGAGTTAATCAGTGTCTTCAAATAAAAAAAAATTATTTAACATGTATGAAATGTTTTTGACCATTCTATGCTTTATCAGAATAATTATCTGTCTTTTATATTAATTTTCTTTTTCAGAAACCATCAATATTTTTAATGAATTGCATCTTTCAATTACCTTAACAGAGTTTATGGTTATTCTGACAGAAACAGTCTGAGTAATGAATCAAAGCAATGTACAACTCCCTTATTATCATATTTCACCTTAGTCTGACACATATTAATATGAACCACTTATCCTTATCCTAAAAAATAAAAAGGCATTCATACTTCAAAAGTACAATCTGGTATTTTCCAAACCATTGTAAATAACAATACCATTCAGTGATGTATAGTTCCTTAAAACCTCTGCCTGACACTTTATGACAAGAAAAACTGCATAAGGAAAAGTACTTATATATCATGCTTGACTCAGTTTCAACCACTACTGCTATATACTTTTAGTTGATTACATATTAAATGTAATTGCAAGGCTTTGTTTAGAACAAAATAAGATACAAATAAAACACATCACACCAGATAACATAACTAATTAACCCCTATACAATTCAATTTCCCTTCCCTATCATGGTCCTCATAAGATTACTCTTTCTGTTCTGTGATTTTCAGCTCTCAGTTACTTTTACTTTATAAACAAAATCTCTTTTACTGGTATTTTGTGTCTGTCTATTGATTATTTCATTAATGATAGCATTTATCTAAATTTTGCTAGTATTTTAAAATATCTCAGAAGTCAGAAATTGAGATAAAACCCTGATAAGTTGAAGGAACAGTGAAACAGTGATCAGCTGATCCTACTATCCAAATTTTTGCATTCCAAAGCTCTGGAAGTCCACCTAAGCTCCTCCTTCTCTCTTCCTATCCCTATCTCTGCCTTTCTCCAAACTATGGCTAATCCCAGTCATCCAATTTTTGACTGCATCCTTGCTTCAAGGTGGTTTAATTGGCACCACAGAATGGCAGGGTGAAAAATTCTCCCACATATCCTTCTTTTTGTCTAAATAAAAAGAAAGGTTTTAACTCTAACATAGCAAAAACATAAAATAAGAACAATTATCAAGAGAGCAATACATTCACATGCCAGTCCACTGGTATTAGTAAATTCAAAGAAAATATTCCATTATCTATTCCATCTTGGTGAATCCAAAGTTTTATACCTGATTCACTTTCTACCCAAAGTAAGAAAAACTGTAACTATAACTATCTAATCTTCAGCTCTGTCCCATACCTCAGAAAGATATAACGCCTGACTAAATAGAAAGTGTAGAGCAAGCAACTTCCAAAACTAAGAAACAATAGTGACATCTACCTGGTTGCCTGGACAGCACCCTGAGGTTTTTCTGAAATATCAGGGAATTCATCTTTGGCTTACAGGCCTATATCTGAAAGATTTTCTGTTTTATTATTTTTTTTTTTCCTTCAAGACAGGGTTATTCTGTGTTGCTTTGGAACCTGTCTTGGAACTAGCTCTGTATACCAGGCTGACCTCAAATTCACAGAGATCTGCCTGCATCTGCCTCCAAAGTTCTGGGAATAAAGGTGTGTGCCAAAAATGCCCTCTCAGATTTTCTGTTAAGCATTAATGTTTAAAGTCTGTGCTACCTGTCTTGGCAAAGTTCAGGAGCTGTCTGTCTTCTTTTGTGTTCTGCATGTCCAATTTGAACAGCAGACATTGGCAGTTTTTTGGCCCACAATGAGACAAACTCCACATGGACTTTCTTTAGTGCCTGTCATCCTGTTTTGGAGTAAGTAGTGATACAAGGAACAGACATGCCTTGCTGTTACAAAAGGCCTTATGTTATTAAAACATATTATATGCCATATTCTGTAGGTCTCTGAACTGTTTGAATACTATCTGACTACTTAAAGAATATCTCACTTTGACATTAAAAGCATTCCTAACATTAATTTAACTTTGATTATTATACATTCCTAACTAGTAAGAATAGAACTTTGCATTACATTTTTTTAATGAGCTGTATAATTATAGTATATTCAATGAGAAGTAGAAGCACATAATACAGTATAACAAAAATAACCTCAAATTTGCATCAATATACAAAAAATATATTAAACAAGAATAGGGACATATCGATGGGAGATGTCATTCTGTAAATGTGTTTCCCTTATTGGTTAATGAATAAAGTACTGTTGACCAATAGGAAAGCAAGATAGGCATGACTAGGAGACTAGGAGGAAAGAGGAAGAAGTAGGGAGGAGTCAACATATAGAGACTTGAGAGAACAGAGGTCCGGGCTTCTCTCTGGTAAGATAATACCATGTGGAATTACTTAAATTAATAGAAATGGGTTAATATTTAAGACAGATCTAGCCAATAAGAAACTAGTAACTGGCCAACAGCCTTGTATCTAATACAGTGTCTCAGTGTGTTATTTGGGGCTGGTGCGGTAGTGGGACCAGGGCGGAAGGAAAAACATAATCATAACATAATGGCGTCCAATGTGGACCAAAGGACTTTCCATTAAAACTTGAAAAAAGCTTAAGAAAGGGTTTTAGAAACACAAGAAAAGATACAAGCAAGGCTTCTTGGTAACAGCATTTTCTTGTTTGGACTCTGTTTTGATAGAGACAAGCAGAAATTTGTAAGTCTACTTTAAGGCGGGTTTCCTGACTCATCATAAATGGCAAAAAAACTTCAAGACTTTTAAGAAGTGCTGCTAATAATTAAATGGTGTGGATGAGCAGCTGTCAATGGCACTGACCATATCTCCAAGCTGGCAACATTCTGCTGGATGGTAGCATAGACCAAGGCAGTGAACACAGCTCTCAGTTCTGGCAGGAAACTTACCCCCACCATCTTGGATAATCCTTGGCTAATACAGCTGTGGTTTTCATTTTAGCAATGTTGTTGTTTACCAGATAAAAGATTCATGGCCAGAAAAATATAAAGATTTATATTGAAGACAGATTCATATTTTAATTTTCCAAGTTCCACAAAATGAAACACAACTATTTACTACATTTTATCACTGCTTGAGGTAATGTCATTTAGTTGTATAGAGAACATGTAAGATAATTCCTTATAATTTCCTTGGCTTGTGGTCAAGTGATAGAAAAATCTTCAAACCTTTGCTATTAACATGGTGTTTATTTCGGAATTCTTAGGCTTATAGCATATTTCCTACCAGTATCTGATTAATTTCTTCATTTCTTCTTACCTTGTGCTACACACACAGACACACACACACACACACACACACACACGTGTGTGTATTCATATATATATATATATATATATGATGTTTACTTGTCATAGTTGAATAAAGTTAACTCTAAATCATCTAGAAGGTAAGTGAATTAATATGTACAACTCTCTGCATGTTGAAAATCAGTAACAATATTAAAAGCTTCTAGAAAAAATCTAATAATACCATACAAATATTTCATGATTGTAAGGGCTTTGGACAATTTTACATATTTTTCCTGACTTTCAACATGCCTTTCCTGATTTTTTTTACATAAATATAGAATGTAGGGACTCCATAAATTAGTGTTCCCCTTACAATGTGAGGAAAATATCAATTAATTCTCTTTATAAAGTCTCTTGCTTTGGTTATATT